GATGCTGATGCTGATGCGGATGATGACGATGACGATGACGAATGATGACGACGGCGATGACGACGACGATGTTGATGGATGATGATGATGCTGAAGATGAGGATGATGGCGATTTTTCCTCGACGTCAGGACCAACATCTGATATCAGGATATGGTGTACAATGCAACCAGATTTAAAGTGATCCGTCGCAGAGAGCCGGCTGTCTCGTGTTGCCCCGCTTGGGCCAGACTGCCAGGGTTCTGCTCGGAGGGGCCTCCTGCGCAGCGCGTGCCAAGCAGCATCGAAATGCTAGCTGAGATATGCGGCCGCTTCTTCTTCGGCGGTTGTATCATGCTCAGGTGGGGCCTCCCCCTCACACTGCTCCTCTGGATGTGCTGGCACGGCAGGGGGGGAGTGGAGGCACGACGGAGGAGGGAGGGTATGTGGCCGGCCGTGACCGTGTCGCTGCTGGCAGGGAGGTCTTTGCCTCGAACGAAATTGACGCGGCGTTGAAACGCCTCCTCTCCGCTGTGGCCTGCATTGTGGCCTGCAGGCTCGCTCTGGCAGAAAAAACGGGTTCACTGCTCGAGCGTCTCTAGCCTCCTCCTCGAGCCAGCCCACTGGGCCCACGTCTCGGTGGTGGACCGCCTGGCCCTCGGCCTCGAGGGCGCGGCTGATCAGGATTTGGCCCTCCCACATGGGCGCGCCTAGCGCGCCGATCACCAGCTTCGTCTTGTCGTGGTCGTAGCACTTTTCCAGACGCACGAAGTTGATGGCGTCGAGGATATCTTCCTTGCTGATCTCCGTCTCCGCCTCGATGTCCTCGATGGCACCCTTCATGGAGCCGCCCACGTCATCACGCGGGACGGAGCTGGCGACCTGATCCCCTGCAGGCATTTCTTGTCCTTTGGGGGGCCGCTCTTCCTGAGGGAGTCCATAATGTGCTCGTAGCTTTCGTGCTCCTGCGTGATGGCATCTAAGCTCGTCGTAAATGTCTAACTGCATGATCTTGATGTTCCGTTCGGCCTTCTTCGTAGCCCCGTGAATGCCCAGTGAGGCCAGGGTGTCCTGCTTACCGATGTTCTGTGCGTGTTGAGTTCCATTCTGTATGAGTCCTATCCTCAGATACAATCGCCATAAATGGTCGAAACAGTGAGATAGACGTACGCATGCATGAATGTCCTGAATCACATTGCCAGTGGGGCTTTTTCCTTTTTTTGCCGATGTCGAAAGTCTGGATGATGGTGGAGCTGACGTCGTGATCGATCTCGAGCTTCCGTCGACTGGGGTGATAAACTCGCTCATCGAGCGGGTCCGCGTATTGATAATCTGCAGTGTCATGTCCCATTCCTGCCCTTTGAACACCAGTGCGCATCAGGTGCTGTAGGGCGAGGAGCATGATGGTGAGTTCGATGGGCCTTGAAGAGAAGTGGGTGGGTCGTCGGACTGGAAATTGATGATCAGGGCGCTCGTCACCAGGGTCACGTTCATGTCGACCTTTAAGTCCAGGTGGCAATTCAAGTCCAGCGTGCAGTTGTTCCACTGGTGGCGGTTCAGGTGCAGCGTGGTGTAGCCCTGCACGTGCTGGCCCTCTGTGTTCGTGAAGACGTTGAAATTGAAGTCCATCGTCCAGTCGTCCAGGGTCAGCGTGTCGTACTCCTGCATGTGCTGGCCCTCTATGTCCGTGAAAAAGTTGGAATTGACGCTCAGCGTCCAGTAGTCCTTCGCGAGCTGGGTGTGTAGGTAGTGGTCCAGCGCCCAGTAGTTCGGGGTCAGCGTGTCGTAATCCTTCATGTGCTGGCCCTCTGTGTTCCTGGAGATGTAGCTCAGCGTCCAGTCCCGCACGTACTGGCCCTCTGTGTTCGTGAAGATGTTGAAATTGACGTTCAGCGTCCAGTCGTTCAGGGTCCGCGTGTCGTAATCCTGCATGTGCTGGCCCTGTATGTTCGTGATGATGTTGGGATTGATGCTCAGCGTCCAGTAGTCCTTCGCAGTGTGGGTGTGGGGGTAGTAGTCCAAGTGGCAAGTCACATTCAGCGTGCAATTGTTCCACTGGTGGCAATTCATGGGCCGCATGGTGTGATCCTGCCTGTGCTGGCCCTCTGTATTCGTGAGGATGTTGTTGTTGAAGCTCAGCGTCCAGTAGTTCAGGGTCAGCGTGTCGTAATACTTCAGCATCGGCATCGTCGTCTGGCTGGTGGTCAGGTGCTTGGGCCATGCGCTCGTCCATGTTCCTGATGTCAGCGAGCGAGTCCTGTGCTTAGCAGGTGCGCGGCGCCCGCGCTCGGGAGCACGTCCATGGCGGCATGGCGGTGTGCGGGGTATCGTCAAGAGGCCCCCTGCCTTTCGGGCAGGGCGAGGGGGCGGTGACTGGAGGCCGCTGCTCCATCAATGGCCTGAGCGCGCGGCGGCCTTGGATGATGGCGATGATGATGATGATGATGCTGATAGTGATGAGGATTATGATGATGATGATGATGATGACGATGACGATGCTGATGCTGATGCTGATGCTGATGCTGATGATGACGATGCTGCTGATGATGATGACGATGCGTTTGACGCTGGAGCAACTGGGGTCTTTATTCCCTACCTAGGCTCTGCCTATAAGGGTTGTTACCCTCTGTGCTTAAAGGGCCGGGCAGTGGGGCTCGCTCGGGCGGTTCCCCCGGCATCCGCCCCGCGGTTCCCCCAGTTACGCCCCCTTAGCTTAGCGTTGCTTATCTCATCTTATCTTGACTTAGCTTATTTCAATTTAGCTTGGCTTAGCTTCATCTTAGCTCAGGTGTATCTTAGCTTAGCTTACCTTAGTGTGTGCCAACCGCGTTGCAAGTTTAGTTTTCTGTTCGGGTAGTTAGCATGGGTGTAATTCCCTACCTAGGCTCTGCCTAGAGGGTTAGCTTAGCTTGGCTTAGCTTAGCATAGCGCAGCGCTGCATTAGCATAGTATAGCATAACATAGCCAAGCATAGCATAGCATAGCATGGCGCAGCATAGCATAGCATAACATAGCATGTATTAGCACAGCATATCATAGCATAGCTTAGCATGGCATAGCATAGCATAGCATAGCATGGCATAGCATAGCATAGCATAGCATAGCAGAGCGCATCATTACATAGCATAGCTTAGCATAGCATAGCATAGCACAGCACATCATAGCATAGCACAGCATAGTATAGCATAGCATAGCAGAGTGCAGCATAGCATGACATAACATATCATAGCATAGCATAGCAACTAAAGCTGCTTTCCTAGGGGCTCCAACTTCTAGGTAGGGTCGCACTGGGGTAATTGCAATGCCCGGGTAGCTATGGCTTGACACGTAGAGCAAGTTGTGCTTATGAGTATGTGGGCATGCGCGCGCGGCGGTGGGGGCATGTGCCTCGCACAGTAGTCTCCAAGCAGTGCGTGCATCTAGGGTGGCACAGCTGCTTTTCCCAACGGATGCGATGGGCGTGGCGGGCCTTCGGCTGGTGCTCAGGCGGTGGGCACCCATGGGCGCCTTTCCCTGGGCGGGGTGTGCCAAGGCTTCGCCTGGTGGCCGCCTCCTGGGCGCCTCCTGGGCGCCTCGTGCGCTGGGTGGGCGTGTCGCGGCTTCGACTGGTGCCCGCCCGCGTTCGCCTCGCGGGCGCCTCGTGGGCGCCTCGTGGGCCCAGGCGTCCGGCGAGGTCTCGCCGGGTGCCCGCCCGCGGCCGCCCGTGGGGTGCCTCGTGGCCGCCTCGTGCGTTTGGAGGGCCCGGCGAGGCTTCGACCGTTGAGCGCCTCGTGGCCGCCGCGTGGGCGCCTCGTGCGCTGGGAGGGCGTGCCGATGGGGGAGCAAGCAATGGCGTACGCGTAGAATCTCGGAGGCCCGCGCGGATTTCTCGGGTCGGCATTGGACCCCCCTCCTTGGCGCGCGGAGCGCGCCAGGGGCGGCGCCGGAGGCGAGGCCAAGGATCTCCAGCGCTGATCCGAGGAATCCGCGCGGACCTCCGAGTTTTCATGTTTATGTCATTGGTCGTTCCCCCAGTCGGAGGTTCGCCTGGTGCCCGCCCCTGGGCGCCTCGTGTGCTGGGTGGGTGTGCCGAGGTTGCGCCAGATTGCCGCTGGTGGGCGCCCCGTGGGCGACCACATAGCCTTCAGCACACAGCTCAACTCACACCACACAGCCTGCGCCACGGAGCCTACACCAGACAGCTCGCACCACATAGGCGTGTATTTCACCGCATAGCTGACACCGCATAGATTGAACAGCATAGCTTACACCGCGTAGCGTGCACCACACAGCTTGCACAACATGGCTCGCACCCAATAGCGTACACCTCGTAGATTGCACCACAGATCTTGCACCGCATAGGTTTGAAAACACACAGCTTACTCCACACATGGGGCACCACGTAGCTTACACAGCATGCCGTGCACCGCGTAGCGTCCATATCCACAGTTCAATAACTTGCTGGTTCGGAGTCAACGTCTACATACAGCCTTCATACGTCAACAGGACTGCTGTTCAACCCTACTCGTCCTCGTCGTCCTGATCTTGCTCATCCTCCTCGTCCTGGCGCCGTTGTGTGTTTTTGTTGTACCTTGCTACTCTCTTAAGTCTGTTACACCCACAGTATTGTGTCCTTGGTGCTGCTTCTCATTCACTTCATCCTGGCCCTCTTCATCAGCACCACCTCATCGTCGTGCTGCTCCACCTTCTGCTCCTCATCGTCCTGCTGCTGCTGCCAGAAGAGGACCCTTGTTGTGCTGCTGGCGGTCGTTACCATTATTATGTTGATGGTCCTCCTCCCTATCATCATCCCTCTCCCCCATCGCGATCCATCACCATTCTGCTGCTGCTGCTGCTGCTGCTGCTGCTGCTGCTGCTGCTGCTGCTGCTGCTGCTGCTGCTGCTGCTCGATCTCCGCTCGCGAGGCAGCCGCGCACGAGCGCTCGCGAGCCGGGAGAGGCCTCGCAGGCGCGCGAGCGTTCGGAGCGGGCCCAAATCTGCGCGCGTGCAGGCCCGCGCGCGCGCCCTGCCCGCCCGCCGGCAGGCGTCGGGCGAGACCGGCGAGGGCGGCAGCGGTGCGCGCGCGCGGCCCCCTCTCAAAGGAGGGCCGTTTGACACCCTGGCGGTTGTTCTTCGGGGGGCCCCTTCGTGGCCACGGCTTTACGCAGCGCGGAAAGCCAGTGCGTCTGGACCCCCAGAGGGGCTTGGGAACCGGTTTGGAGCCGATCTTGAGCTCAGGGGTCGACCTCAATTGTGATTTGGCGATCTCGTGGGCCGGTTTGGTTTCGATTCAGTCTTGCAGCAGGGGCAGATTCATGAGGGAAAACGAAGACAGCACGAAAACGAAATCATTGTTTACGGGGGGGCACTATGGGGGGATAGGCATTTGGGGGTGATGCATCGGCCCCCATTCGCCCATTGATCGCCGCTAGGGGCCCCATAGCCCCACCCCGCCCGGAAAGGTGCCTATTCTCTATCGGGGGCCTATCGCCGATCTGTCGGCGATGCATCGCCAGTTCCAGGTCCATGCGACCCCCCCCACCCCCACATGCCAGTCCCCCCCCCCCCCATCGTTGCCCCCCAGTTTAGGTCCGTCCCTGCTGGAGCTCCCAGTGCCTCAATCTCCCCCATGCTCCGACCCTCCCTCGCCCGCCCCCAGAGAGAGGTTGCCTGGGAGGCGGTCCTGGCCCCCAGGGGGCTGCGGCCAGCACCGCGTGCCCCCCACTCCGTGACCCCTGGGCCCGGCGTCGGCGTCGGCGGACCACCCCGCCGACCGCGCAGACCCGAGGGGAAAAGGAGGAGGAGGAGGAGGAGGAGGAGGAGGAGGAGGAGGGGGAGAGGGAGGAGGAGGAGGAGGAGGAGGAGGAGGAGGAGGAGGAGGAGGAGGCGGAAGAGGAGGGCGGAGGAGGAGGAGGAGGTGGAGGAGAAGGAGGAGGAGGAGGGCGGAGGAGGAAGAGGAGGAGGAGGAGGAGGAAGGCGGAGAAGGAGGAGGAGGAGGAGGGCGGAGGAGGAGGAGGACCAGTGTAAACCCAAGAGCCATCTAAGATCCCTCTTCATAGGCCCCTACAACAGTTAATTTCCATTGAGGGAACTGCCGCGTTGGAAGTCAACCGTTTGAGGACCCTGAAGCATGCCAAAACATTGTTCTCGGGATTCCAGCGCCACGGGTCAATATGAATGTTTCGCTTTGACGATCCTGAACCGCGTCAGAACGCCATTACTTGGGATTTCAACACCGCGAACGAACGTAATTGTTGCAACCTCCTAATCCTGAATCCTTCCAAAACGTGATATCTCGTACTTTGATCATGGGAATCCGTTAAACTCTTGCACACTTGATTAACGAACGTGCGCGGCGCTAAGGCTGGAGCCACATTTTGAAAACGGGCCGTCGTCAACCCGTGGCATTCTTGCGGTTTGATTTGAATGTGCGCGGCGCTAAGGCGAGAGCCACATAAAAAACTGTTCAACTGTATAACGCATGCAATTGTTTAAAACGAATGTGCGCGGCGCTAAGGCGAGAGCCACAATTTGAAGACGGGCCGCCCTGAATCCATGAAGCTCTTGCAATTGATTCAAAACGAATGTGTGCGGTGCTAAGGCGAGAGCCACATTTTGAAAACGACCTACCCCCCATCTGCGAAACTGTTGCCAATTCTGCAGCTTCATGGTCATACATGGTGAGGAAGTCTCAGGCGAAACGCCTGGCCCGCCCTTAAAACTGGCCTCGGGGTGCGACAGGGAGAAGTTATTCATAAAGGGAGAGGAATGGAGGAGGAGAAGGAGGAGGAGGAGGAGGGGGACGGTCTTTCGCTATTATTTCGGCCTCCGCGGGCCCGTGCCTGGCCTCGGGGACCGTCGAAAAACCGAGTGCAGGATGACAAGCTGGGCCCTGGGGAAGGGGTCCAGGCCTCTGGGGCTCGGCGTGATGAACTGCATCACGACGTCGGGGATCTGGGGTTCCAGGCTGGGCCGCCCCTGGGGCCAGGATCGGTGCACGCGCCCTCCTGGCTTGGCCAGGGGGGCCGCAGGCCCCGCTCTTGGCCGGCCACGCGCATAAGGGGTAGGTAGGCGGAGGGAGGCAAGGCTCCTTAGAAGGAGGCTGCTCCTCAGAAGGTGCAGGCCTTCTCTACAGGAGTGAGGCCGGTACCATCCGAGAAGCAGCCTCCTTCTAAGAAGCTTTCCCCCCTCCCCCTACCCCCCTGGTGCGCGCTGCCAACTGGGGCCCCAGCACATCGGACTGGCCATGATCGGTGAGGTGCTCCACCGACGCCGCCTGATTTTTCGGGGTTTCCTCCAGGGCCCAGGCGCTTCGTGAGGGGTGCTCTGGACACCCTGGCCTCCCAGAAGATGCTGGGGTCACCTTGGCCAGGGACTCCTGTGGCAACATCCGATCGTCGGCTCGCCGCCGCCGCCGCCGCCGCCGCCGCCGCCGCCGCCGCCGCCGCCGCCGCCGCCGCCGCCGCCGTCGTCGTCGTCGTCGTCGTCGTCGTCGTCGTCGTCGTCGTCGTCGTGGTCGTCGTCGTCGTCGTCGTCGTCATTATTCTCGTCGTCGTCGTCATTCTCGTCGTCGTCTGAGGAGGAGGAGGAGGAGGAGGAGGAGGAGGAGGAGGAGGAGGAGGAGGAGGAGGAAGATGAGGAGGACTAGTCACCACGGAGGGTTTTGGCTCCTTTGCGGCCGTCGGGGGCCCTCCCCAGGCCCCCGGGGGCCGTCAGAAAACGACTCGGGATGGAAGGCTGGCCCCAGGGAAGGGGCCCACACCTCTGGGGAGCCACGCTGGGGAAAGGACGCCCTGGGAGTGGGAGCACGGGCCTGCCCCCTCCGCCGCCTCCTCTCAGGCAGTGGCGAGGCGTCCTGGCGTGCCTGCGTGGGCACACCAGTTGTTGTTTGACTATTTGTATTGTCCGTCCAAAAATGCGCCTGTAGGAGGACACGCCCGACCTAACCTTAGTCCATGGAGAGCTGTGCCGGGTGACGGGAGCTGGCCCCCAGGCGGGCTTTGGAGCGATTCCGTCCTTGAGCAGCCGAAGGCGTCGGATCCTTGGGACCCCCCGGGGTCCTATAGGCGCCCGTCTGGCGCGCGCCTCTCGCGAGAGGAGGCCGCCCTCGTGAGGCCCGCGCGGCGTGGCGCCCGACAGTGGATTTTGCACCCGCTGCTCCCGTTTCTACCGCGACCGCTCCTGCTGTTGCTTTTCTTCTCCTCCTCCTCCTCCACCTCCTTCTTCATTCCCCCCCCTGCTCTAGGGGAGCAAACGATGACATACACATAAAAACTCGGAGGTCCTCACTGATGTCTTGGATCGGCGCTAGACCTCCCTCCCTGGCGCGCGGAGCGCGCCAGGGGCTGCGCCCGAGGCGCTGGCAGGAAGCTCCAGCGCCGATCCGAAGAGTCCGCTCGGACCTCCTAGATTTTGAGTTCATGTCATTGTTGGTTCCCCTGTCATCATCCCCACCTACCTCCTCCCCCTCTGGGCGGGAGCACTCTTGCCCAAGCTCTTCTCCCGCGCAGTTGGCTTCCCCTACGACGGGCGGTACAACGCCAGGACGGCCGCCCTCGACCAGGAGCCCCGCTGCCCCTGGCCCGGCCGTGCCTCGCTCGCTTGCCGCCGCGTGCTTTCAGAGCCGTGCCGCTCCTGCTTGTGCACCCGAGGCGCATTTCCAGACCCCCGACGTCGTACAGTGGAGAACCATGCCAAGACGCACCCTGCTTGCCTCCGAGGTGCCCTGGGCTTCTTGGGTGTCGATGGTTTTGCCATGGAAAGCGTGACGTTCCCACACCAAAAATCAATGGATTTCCTGGGGTCTCAGGGTTGGGTTTCTTGTGTAAGGTTTCTTGCGGACTGGCCTCCACTGTGTACTTGTTGTTTGCAACTTAAATCCCCAGCATGTCCCGCTACAGGAAGAGTATTCGAGAGAATAGTTACGACATGGTCTGGTCACGTGTCTTGGTGCTCGTTTGACTGTTGTTGATTGTTTGTGGTTATTTGCATCTTTCTTCCAAAATTCGTCTGTAGGAGAAAGTGCCCGACATAAACTACTGCCACTAATGAGTTGTCAACCCCACTGTTTGCGCAAGCATCCCACCCGCAACTTGTTTTATAACTCACGAGGCCGCGATTGCGGTGACTACTTGACGCTTCTAAAAAGCATTTCTGCGGCCGCGCGTGCGCGTGCAAGTTCGCGTGCAGAGCAGCCAGCTGCTTGGGCACAAATGATGCGGCCGCGATGGCGCTTGCCGATGGGAACCTTCCAGCGCGTCTCAAAGGCCGCGCTGGCTCGAGGGCACATCAGTGCGGATCGGTGGCTCGCTCGGGCACGATATCATGACGACGTCGACCCTAAAGGCAAAATTGATGAGAGTAGCGATGGTTGTGGCAATGGAGATGACGGTGGCATGGCCACTTGTGGCGCCGATGTTCGCGACAACGATGACGATGACGATGTCCATGTGCTGGTGATGAACGTGATGGGCTGATGATTGCGACAATGGCGGCGATGGACGATGGTGATCACGGCGGTGATGCGATGCCGCTAGTGGGGATGATGGTGAGTGCGCGCGCGCAGAAGTTCCATAACTCCTGCACATGTTAGTTTAGTTGAAAGCGTTTTGGTTCAAATGTTCCGTCAACTCTATCTCCAAACCTTTCAGAAACCCATCGTGTTGGAAGGGTGTTGGTCCGCCCGCGTGTCGGCGCCCGCGTGCCGCCCGCATGATATTATGTGATACGGATTCGTGCGATAGGCGCCTGCTAGATCAACGCAGATGCATTGCGTAGTGAAGCGAAAATGCGGCTTCTGGACGAGATTCGTCAAACGACAGCAATAGCACGTGGCTTCCCCATGGGTTCAACAAGTACGAGCGGAGAACCAGCCAGCATCACTCTGTTCATGACGAACGAACAACTTGGTTTTGGAATGGTTGTGTGCACCACTTCTAATGGATGTGCGTTTTTGTCACCCAGTGCAGTCCTCCTCAGCTCCCCCCTCGCTCTTCCCCCTCATCGAGGACACGTACACACTCACTCATAGGTTTGCACGTCCTCACACACAAACACACACACACACACACACACACACGTTCGCACACCCACACATTCGCACACATGAGCCTCCGTTGTGAGTGAATCGCGGGGGCGTCTTCAGCGGGAGCTCCCTCCCCATGGGCCTTCTGTCTCCATGATCGAGTCCGAGCGCGGTGATCCAAACGTTGTAATTGTCATAGCTCCTGGGCTCCCCGGGCCCGAATCTGGAGGAGGGCTCGAGCGGGGAGTTCGATCGTGAGCGAGTCGCGAGGGCGTCTCGGGCGGGAGCTCCCTCGCCCTAGGGCTCCCGCCGCCAGGATTGATTCCGATCGGGGCGATCCAAGCCTTGAACTCGGAGGATGCTTCGATCGCGTCGATCGAGAGCCTTTTGCGAGTGCATCGCGAGGAGGTCTCGAGCGAGGGCCCTATCCCTACGGCGTCCCCGCGTCCGCCTTCGAATCCGAGCGGGCTATTGTTTCACTGTCGCAGGCATAATATGTGAGCACCACCCCCCGAGGGGGGGGAGGGCAAACGATCGGGTCTCGAGCGCACAGATGACGTCCCGCGACCCGCTCCCGCTGACGACCCGCCCACCCCCCGAGGGACAAGGCCCAGGAAGAGGAAGAGGAGGAGGAGGACGAAGAGGAAGAGGACGATAAGGAGGAGGACGAGGAGGACGAGGAGAAGGAGGACGAGGACGAGGAGAAGGAGGACGAGGAGGAGGAGGACGAGGAGGAGGAGGCCGAGGCCAAGGAGGAGGACGAGGCCCAGGAGGAGGAGGAGGAGGAGGAGGAGGAGGCCCAGGAGGAGGAGGACAAGAACGAGAAGGAGGAGCAGGCGAAGGAGGAGGAGGAGGAGGAGGAGGAGGAGGAGGAGGACGAGGAGGACGAGGAGGCCCAGGAGGAGATCGAAGCCCAGCAGGAGGACGAGAACCAAGAGGAAAAGGAGGACGACGACGAACAGGACGAGGAGGAGGAGGAGGACGAGGAGGAGGAGGAGGAGGGGACGAGGAGGAGAGGAGGACGCGAGACCCAGGAGGAGGATGATGAGAGATGAAGAAAGGAGGAGGAGGAGGAGGAAGGAGGAGAGGAGGAGGAGGAAGAGAGGGGAGGGGAAGGAGGGAGGAGAGGAGAGGAGGAGGAGGGGAGGAGGAGGAGGAGGAGGGAGGAGAGAGGGAGGGGAGGAGGAGGAGAGGAGGACAGGAGGACGAGGGGGAGGAGGAGCAGGACGAAGAGGAAGTGAGGAGGAGGAGGAGGAGGAGGACGAGGAGGAGAAGGAGGAGGAGGAGGAGGAGGAGGAGGAGGAGGGGGACGACGAGGCCCAGGAGGAGGACGAGGCCCAGGAGAAGGACGAGGAGGAGGGTAGGAGGACGCGGATGACGACGACGAGGAGGAGGACGGAAGAGGAGGACCAGAAGGAGCAGGACGAGACCCAGGAGGGGGACGAGGCCCAGGAGGAGGAGGAGGAGGAGGAGGAAGAGTTGGACGAAGAGGACGAGGAGGACGAGGTTCATGAGGAGGAGGAGGAGGAGGAGAGGCCGAGGAGGAGGAGAGGAGGAGGAGGAGGAGAGGAGGAGGAGGAGGAGGAGGAGGGAGGAGAAGAGGACGAGGCCCAGGATTAGGACGAGGCCCAGGAGGAGGACGAGAACGAGGAGGAGGACGATGAGGAGGACGAGAACGAGGTCGAGGACGAGGGCGAGGACGAGGACGAGGACCAGGACGAGGACGAGGAGGACGAGGAGGAGGACGAGACACAGGAGGAGGACGAGGCCCAGAAGGAGGACGATGCCAAGGAAGAGGAGGACCAGGACGAGGACGAGGAGGAGGAGGAGGACGAGGAGGAGGACGAGGAGGACGCGGCCCAGAATCAGGAAGAAGCCCTGCAGGAGGAGGAGGAGGAGGAGGAGGAGGAGCAGGAGGAGGAGGAGGAGGAGGAGGAGGAGGAGGAAGAGAAGGAGAGGGAGGAGGCGGAGGAGGAGGACGAGGAGCAGGCGGAGGTCGTCGAGGGCAAGGCCGCAGCGCCACCCTACTCCGCCCGTCTCCGCCCGCGGCGCGGAGGACGGCGGCGCTGAGGGAGGCCCCCCGTCGCAGCGGGAGAAGGACGGCTCGGCGGCGAGCGAGGGGCAGAGGCGACGATACGGGCGAATAGGCCAGGGGCGGGCGTTACACGCACTCGCCCGAGAGCATCGCCGAAGGCATGGGCTATTTGCGCCCTTGGGTACATGTGATGCCCCTCCCTGAACAATTCGCCCTTATCGTCGCCCCCGAGAGGAGGGAAGTGGGCTTCTCAGAGCCCTCAGACTCTGGCGCTGCATTTGTTTCAAGACGGGCGTTTTCGCCCTGTTTCGGGCCCCAGGACCCTCACAGATCGAGCCGGCTCTCAAAATGCCGCAAAAAGATTGGGGCTGGGGCTTCAGTCGTGATGCGATGTTGCAATTGCTGTTCGCGTCGTGGGATCTCAGGCGAAGCCCCCCCCCGCCTTCTGAGAAGCTTTCTGCGTCTTCGGGGGAAGCTCGGAAAAGAAAGCTTCTCAGAAGGCTGGGGGGACTTCCCAGCCGTCGATCTGAGAAGGCCCGCCCCCTCTCTCTTCCTCCCTGGGCCGGCCGCCAGACGGCCCCGCCGCCGCCGCCGCGCCGCTCCGCGCCCCGGCCGGCGGTCCTCGCAGGTGCTTCGGGCGCGGCCAGGGCGAGGGTTCGTTGTGGGCACCCTGGTGGCCAGCAGAGTCGGACCCGGGGCGAAGCACTTCGGGCGGGTGGCCATTGGTCTGGACGCCCGAAATGGGTACCGAAAGAATGGGTAAAATGCCCAACAGTAGTTCCTGTTCATTTTGAACAGGATTCGCTGTCCGCGCCGCCGCAGCCTGTGTCCATTCGAGACAGAAGGTCGCCTGCCCAACAGCGGACGCTGTTGGCTTGGGACAGCATTTGCTGTTGGGCATAGTGCCCATTCTTTCAGTACCCATTTCGGGCGTCCAAAATTGGGGGGTGACCCAAGTGAGGGGTGAAGAACAGGGCCCCGAAGGGGCAATTCAGGGCCCCTTTTGGAGCCAGTTGGTGCCCACAAGGGTTCCGTTTTTAAGGCCCTGTTCTTCACCTTCCATTTCGGTCACCCCCCACTGGCACCCGCTCTGGCACTGCCCAGGGCAAGGGGTTGGGACACCTGGGGCCGCGCAAAAGAGGCTCGGATGCCGGGGCCTCCCCATTCGCACCACCAAACCCCGCCCCGCCCCCCCGCCCGCCCTCGCACAGGGGGGTGGGCTCGCGCGGGGCAAGGACGAGGACGCATCCGTTCCAGAGCCTTCCGCAGCGCTTTCAGGGCGTTCTGGAACGCTCCGAGAAGGCCGCGGCGCCCGATAGGTAACAGAGATCCCAGAGATCCTCGATCTATCCTCGAGATCCCAGAGATCCCAGAGATCCTCGATCTATCCTCAAGATCCTCCAGAGCCGCTGGATCCCAGAGACTCGAGCTACCCTCGCCAGATCTCATCCTCGTCCCAGTCTCGTCTCAGTGCTTGGGCTGCTCTGCGGGCTACCCTCGCTCTCCCCGGGGACAGAGGCGGGCCCTGAGGGGAGCGGGTCCTGAGGTTGTTCGCCGTCCTCGGGCCTTCGGCGGTCAAGAAAGAGACACCCGGACCCGGTAACTGGCGTTTCCTAAACGTCCCTGGGCCTGTACTCAACAGCCCTGCCCTGTTCAATGTTCGATTCCTTTTTTGGGGGCGTTTACTCGGCGCCCTCGCGTGTCGGGGTGGTTGTGATATCTGGAGGGGTGGATGGTCTGCCCTCTATCGGGGCCCTCCACGGGCCCCAGGGCTGTCAGAAGACGGGCCTCGGGATGCAGAGCTCGTCCTTTGGGGGGGGAGGCCCCAGGGTCCAGGGCCCGCTGCCCTCGAGGCCCGCTTCCCCCATGCGCGCCTCGCACCAGCGCCCGCGCATCGCCGTGGCCTCCCGCCCCTCCACCTGCTTCGAGGAAGCGTAAGACTCGAGTGAGCTGGAACTCGGGCTTGCCGTCGTTGTTTGACGAGCGCGTTCTGGATTCTGACGGTTCTGTTTTCGTCGTGGTATGTTTGCAGCGGGAGTTCGCGTCAAATTTCAGATAGGGCCTCGTCATTTTCATGATGGCCCCGTCAGGCCGATCCGAGTCCCCCGTACCCGTGTCTTACGTCTCCCCGACTGCTGGGAGTAGGCAGCGCACCACCACCACCATCTGGGGGGGTCAGGATGAGTTGAGATGTGGGATGCAGGTGTGCGTGATGTCCAACGAGAGCGCCCGACACTAGATACCACCACCACCGCCCTTGACCACCCTGCGCCTCCGTCCCACAGCTGGTGGTGGTGGTGCGTTTTTTAGACGGGGTCGGAGGATCGCGCCGCATCGCCGATGCATCGGCGATGCGGCTCGACGTGGCGCCCGATTTTCTACACACCGACGGCGCCGATGCACTGCCGACGTCGCCGATGCATCGGCAATGCGGCGCGATCCTCCGACCCATCTACTCGGACCCCATCCAGGCGCCCTCTACCGTTGGACCTGTCCCCGTCCCAAGCATAAAGGAGGATAAGGTCGGGGAACAAACAATGACATAACATAATAACTTTTGGAG